ATGGGGCCTCTCTAGCAGATATCTGTAGAGCTGCAGGTTGGGCTACACCTAATACATTTGCTAGATTTTATAATCTACGAATGGAACCAGTTTCTTCCAGAGTTCTGAACATCAGTTCTTTGACTTAGGAGACTGGCAGGGTTTAGAGCTTGCTACCAGCGCTACTCCCCCCAGGGTAATTATGCGCTTATTCAGTCCAGCTCAGGTTTTCTTTCATGAACTCTGGACTACCCTTCCATCACATAAGCACTTTTTCTTAGCAAAGTTCGACGGAGTAACTTGCTATTAGAACTCATTATGAGGTAGTTTCCCTCGAGTGAACTCTTGTATTGGGTTAGTGCTACACATGTAGTGGCTCCTCTTGAGGCCCCATGTGTGTATTCTCCACTGTATTGCCCCTGAGGCTCAGTGTTCCCCTAGACAGACATTCTGTCGATATGTTCTGGGTTTTGGTAGATCTCCCCTTATGCGGAGCCCACCCCAGTACTTTCCCTATGTGGTACTTCCTCTGTAAGTCCATAGGTGGATCTTCACATGTTACCTCCCCATCGGGTAGGATGTGATCTCCGTAGTGCCTTTTTCCCTAGGGGGAATAGTCACTGTCCCAACGTTACTACCAAGACTTTTCAGCTATTATATTATGGTGAGTATTACTAAGGGAAAAGGCTCTGGCTGAGGGGACCTCTGCCTCTATGATGGCTCTCCCGGATGTTGGAGAGTGAGGTCTTAAGTCTTGGGCGTTGGAAGGTTACGAGGAGGAGAGGTGCATTTGGTTGTGACATGTTGGCTTGTCAACATCTGCGCCCCCGTGGACTTGTGATGCAGTTCGGCAGTTCGGCAGTTGTGGTGTTTAGTATAGGGACCCCTAGTGTCGTACACTCGACACAACGTCGGAGTGAACGAAGGGAACGTCTCGGTTACGTATGGTAACCCTCGTTCCCTGATGGAGGGAACAGATACGCTGTGTCCTTCATGCCACAACTCCGAATTGCCTCTGAGTGGGTTGAGACACTTCTTGACTCCTCAGAACAGAACGAGTGAGCAGATGCCACGCTGGCCTATTTATACCCGGATGTCCAGGGCATGACCAGCTATGCAAATTCTGCACACCCAATTTCATTGGCCTTTTCTCAAGATGTCAGAGGTGTTTGGGCTCCCAAGAGTGACCCCTAGTGTCATACACTCGAGGGTTACCATACGTGATCTGAAGAAAATGTGAGTGGTATTTGCCCATCCTAGAGTGCTGTGTTTTAAGTGTTTTAAGGCTCTGACACACCAACCTGACATCAAAGAACCTGAGGCAACCAAAGCAAACTGCAGTGTTGCTTCACAATAGCTTTTTCCCCTTAAAATAGTTTGATTAGTTACAAGTAAAAGGAACTTTCTCTCTTGCACTGCCATCATGTGCAGCTTTGGCCATTCGTACATAGCCTAAACAAAACTAAATAATCATATTGTGAACAATAATCCCAAATTGCATCTGAGTTCAAGTGATGAAAATGACTGAAGCATGTAAAATGCTGTAAAACTGAAAACGGACCCTTAATTCTCTCAGGTCTCTTGGTATGATTCAAGGCTTGGATATTTTTAACCAATTCTTCATTCAAAAATTGTAAGCATGAACTCTTGGAAAAGTAACAGCATTCTTCAGGGCTTTTCACAATGCATCTGACCCTAGGTTATTATCATTTTTCTAAACCTTGCTTTTATCCCCGGATGAAAGAAACCTTTCACATTTGTTATTTTGTAATTTAGCAGGGGGCTAGCATGTCTTTATGACATCTTTATGAGTACAGCTTTTGCACTTTTCAAATGCAGTAATTTTAGCATTTGATGGGGAAAATGTCAAATGATGATGGAAATTGCATCAATTGGAATGAGGACCTGACGTACTCAATGTTGTTTTTAGTTCTTTGTTTCGGAGTAGAAAGAAGTTCAAAATATCTGAGCAGAAATATGTGCTGCAGGCTTTCTTTTTAATAGCAAAATAAACAATGAATAAAAATGCAGTGAGAAAACAGCAGTCAAGAAAGCATCTGATCATAGTGATGGGGACATATTTGCATCAGCTCTGCAATTGAACACTCCAATCATGTCACAACATGTAGTATTTATTTAAATAGCAGTTTGTACAATAGATCGCTTTAAATCAAGAAACTTTTCAATTTTTAAGCTTTACAGTACTCAACATGAAAGTGTCAGTGCTAGAATTACAACTTTAAATATTACTACAAAAAAGCTCCCCAATGTTTTTACTCGTGTCTCCATGGACTGAACAGAAGAAATAAACCAATGATCTCTACATTGGAGAAGGTGGAGCCCCAGAGCATAGCTACCTGTTATGTTATTGCCACAAACCAAATGGTAGTTTAAAGGTGTTTACCAGCTAGAGCAAACTTTTTTTTGGAAAACTTTAGCAAGCTGTTTTAAACCCCCAAAACAAGCTACATTTTGGCTTGCTTTTGTTCTAAATGATGCCACAGCAGTTGGTTCTTCAATTTCGCTTGAAGTATCCACCTTATTATTATTATTTTTTTTTATTAAAAGGGTGGTTGACTGTTTTTTTTCTAGGCTTGATTGTGTTTATGGGGTGCAGTCTAACGTGTTAATCCTTTGTTTTTAAAAAGAAAACACATTATTTTTCACATAATTTACCTTTATTCTACACCACTCTGTCCCTACTCACATAAACGCGCTGATGATTTCCTGGTTTTATGAAGCCCCTCCCTCAGAAATACACGATGGGCTCAGATTGGTTAGCTGGCCCAGTGTGTTGTGATTCGCTAAACCACCAGTGCGTGTCTAGACGTCACGCCCCTCACCTCAGTGCATGTGCTCCGGTTGGATTGTAAACAATGGCATTGTCTATATTGCTTATCAATTTGAGCCCGATTGTGGATATTAGTGAAGAGGATCATGCAGAACCTGTGCAAGCACACGTCTCTTAATGGTATGTTTTTTGTTTGTTGTTGTCTCATACTTTTAGATACTGTTATTTGTAAATGCTACTGCTTCTATTAGCTTTTATATATGGTTTTATCCTGATTAAAGCTTTAATACAGTACGCCAACCGCACGCGAATATGCACTGAGACATGTGCACATTGCTTGACTGTGCTTCCACTCGCTGTTATTTCACTATTTTACTTTAGATATGTTTTCATTTATGCTGTTTGAAATGCAGTACGTATTAGATGCACGGAACTAACTTACTGACAGACTTTCACGTGCGCTTTGTGTTTGTTAGTCCTGAAGCTTGCGGCTGCGGTTAAACGCACTTGCATCTCCAAATACTGTTATGATACGAAATTGATGTAAACACAGTCAGTTATGCTTTCAGAACAGGACAAAACATCTGATATGTCAAAACAGATCTGTGCATTAGTGTGAATGCAGCCTATTAAAGATGCCACTGTCTATGATCTCATCAGTAATAATCAAATGGCAATAATGCTGAGGAAAAAAGAAAAAGCCCATAACTGATTGTCTGTAAACTTTCGAATACTTAAAGCACTCTCAGATACTGAAAGTGATTTTTGATTATCACTTGTAATTATCTTTTCCCCCCTTTATTACTTTATATTTGCTTGTATGTTTTGAAGATAGATTTACTTTGTTTAATTCTTAACATTAATTAATTAATTAATTATATATTAATTAACGTAATTATTTTAAAAAGTTGCCTGCTTATATAATTTAATAAAAATGCACAAAATAAATTTGATATAATCATGATGCATCGTGATATCAAATTGAATTGAATCGAATTGTTGACATGATAATCGTAATCGAATTGAATCGTGAAACCAGTGCCGATTCACACCCCTAATTTAGGTAGTACGGGGGGCACATTCCCTTCAAAAACAAACATAATCCACTGCGTCTTCAGCGGCTCAGATGTCGGGAGTAAATGACGACTGCTATGTTCATTATTACATCCAACAACAAAGCACCTCAATCGCTCAGGAGACATTCTTGTCTACATCCGCTCCGGTGGTGAAACAATGGCGGACTGATGACAGCTCACTCAGGGGGGGGTCTAAGGTAAAACGCCAGTGTCAATCAACAATCGTGGGAGGGGCCTGGGTATGTGTGATGTCACACTGCCAAGAATCTGAGATCGGCTTGATTTGAAAAGGGGACATTATTTATATGGATTTTAAAAAAAAACACTGGTTGGATTTTTATCATTATAGGGTGGTTGTGCACACACACACTGCCAATACACATTTCAGTTCAAACAACATGTAAAAGTGAATTTTGCATCCGATGACCCCTTTAAAAATAAAGGTTCTTTTTTGGCATCAGAGGTTCTATTCTATAAAGAACCTTACACATCCATGGAACCTTTCAAATGCAGAAAAGGTTGTTATAGTCGAAAAAGTTTCTTTAGGTTTTTAAAATGTTCTTCAAAATGGTTCTTTTAGGACCTGTTCACTGAAAGGTGAATGGCATCACTGCAAAAACACAGTTTTGGAAGCTTTATTGTTTGAGAGTGTACAGCACACACACAGCTTTAACAGACACATATTTTATTGGAGTTTCTCCTGTATTTGCCTGCTGTGTCAGTCTGAGACCGCAAAGAAGTGTCCAAACGCACCTCCTCCTGTCCTCAACGCACTGTCAGAGCGTAATGAAACACAAATGTGTGCCTGATAAGAATCTTCAAAAGAAAAACTCATCATATAATCTTGCATGATATTTTATATTTCTCTGCTATCAGCTGAGGACAAGGGTGGATGGCTTGATATTTCAATAGAAGGGTCGCATATTTTTGTAAACTCTTAGAAAAACAGGGCCATCTGTTGACTACTGCCAGCTGTCTATATGCGCTGCAGACAGCAAAGCAGCTCTCTAGGTGTTGGAATAGAGAAAGTTTCTAAAATATATTATTGTTGGGAGTCTTGAATGAAATTCATTGGCAGATGCAGTGTCTGCTTCATTACACTACTGAGGATTAGTTTCTGGCAGACTAGGATGACTATGAAGAATCTCTCTCACCTTCCCTTCAAGGCGCGCGGTACCCCCTTGGCAGACGCGGGTATTACGTGGCGGGAGGGTAAAAACAGGGGGCTCTTTGCTGGGGGAACCTCGTCCCAGAGTCAGAGTCGTCTTGGAGACATGAGATCCCGTAACAAACTGAACGTCACCCATCATTCTGCAAACACAAGAACATCAGAAGAGTTTTAAATTCCATGTCAAGTTCATATAAGTAGTAGAAAAATGAAAAGACAATGAATGCATTAAAATGAACTGACTGTAGTTTATATAGTCAAGTTTTTTTTTTTTTTTTTTAAGCATGGATTATGATCCCTCCATTGAGTTTCAGGATTGTCATGAATTTCATATGACCTATACTAAATTCTTCATGTTCACACAGATAATTTAGGACCATATATGTTCATGCTTTTGATCGGCCCTCTTACTGTATATGGGACATAAGGATTTATTTATTTATTTATCAAATTATCGGCCAACTGGAGAGTAATTAAATTTTATTTTCTTGCCAAAGCCCATTTAAACTCGTGTTTGGATAGTCAAGTTTTTTTTTGTTTTTTTTAAGCATGGATTATGATCCCTCCATTGAGTTTCAGGATTGTCATGAATTTCATATGACCTATACTAAATTCTTCATGTTCACACAGATAATTTAGGACCATATATGTTCATGCTTTTGATCGGCCCTCTTACTGTATATGGGACATAAGGATTTATTTATTTATTTATTGCATGTATTTGTTGTCACATAACCTCTCTTTCTCTCTTTCTATGCTTTCTCCTTGCAGCTTAATGTGAAGACAATTATAAGTGATTCACTGATAGGTTGAATTAATGGTAGATGGAGAAGTGTTTGGAGAAACCCATTTGAAAACAGTCATTATTTTTGCAATTCCATTTGGTAATGCTAGTGGCACAGAGATGTCACATTTACACTAACAACAAGTACGTGTTATAACATAGTTAGAAATATTTATTATTCAACCCTTATGAAAAAATAATATTACCTAGCACAATCAAGTATTCAAGTTTAAACCTGAACTTCACTTCATTATCCAAGGAAACCCTCTAGCTGACCACAGACCAAGTGATACTTTAAATGGTGTTCATAAATCTGCATCTTCCCTTAAAAGGTCAAAAACTCCTTCACGACCGTGAATTTAAGCTGATTTACGAGCATGCAGCAAAAAGATCTTTGCTGAAACATGTCACATTTGACCTCTGAGTCAAAGTGTAACCATATGGTAGGCCTATCCTAAATCCAGTGGACAGGCAATACCGTGACAAATGTACTTGCATATTTTACACATACAAGCACAAGCACACTCAAATACATGTCAAACAGACACAGTCATTTCCTCTTTAAGAGGTCTGCAGATTGTACCACATGGGGCGACCACATCCCAGGCTGAACACATTAGCCTGTCGCAGTGAGCGTTCAGCACAGGCTGTGCACTCCAGACTTACATAGAGGATGTTTTTACACTTGATTCAATTGGGTAATCAACGGAATCAGTCGACTACCACCATGAGTGACTAGCATCCGAGTTCTGAAGAGTACTTTTATACCAACCAAAACAAACCGAACTCTGATAACAAACAGACTCGCATCAAAAGCTCCAGTGTGAACACACCCTTAATCAGTCACCGTGCATTAATTATTAATTCATCTGGATCTGCCGAAAGGAGAAACTTTAATTAAAGGGTTCAAATGTGACAGAGTGCAGCATGCATGCAAGGCATGCAACCTCACAGGATAGGTAAATAAAGCTGGATGTTTGATGGGCTTTCCTTTCTCTCTCTCCCCCTCTCTGTCCAGATTTTTCACCATTGTGCTTATTGGCAGACTCCAGACATGCTTTCCCATGGTTGTTTTTGAGAAATGGCTTCTTTTGTACAACACTCACGTACAGGCCAGTGTTATGCTGAACTCTTGATATGGTCGACTGGTCAATCTACAGCCTGTTCTCAACTACTACTTGAGCTCATACAAAGTGATTTGTGGTAGTTATATTAATTAACCAACCAATTGCAAGGCAACTGTGTATATCTAGGTGCAAAAACACGCAATGGGACCGAATATTTTGCATTTATATATTTTGCAAGAGTGCATACTTACTTGGACTTGTAAACACATCCAAGACTCCTTATGGCATTGTAGCGAATCAGCTCATAGGGGAAATATGAATAATTAATCATAACTAGTTATAATTAATTATAAATATTTAGATCCGCTGTAGATATGTACTTGACCTCTCAGGGTCAACTGTCTGTCAATTCTAAGAACGTTAATTTCCTGGTTAAGGGAAATAACTTTCTTACTGTACAACTCTATAGACACTGTCCAACATCCACTAATTCCAGTCCAGCAAACATCCCCAAAAACCTGCATTAAGTACTCTATTACTCATTTAGAGTGAGCTACTTTTTTTCTATTTCTTTACTAAATAACCAAAAGGAACCTGAGTTAAAGTCTTCTATTACAGTATTACTCTGTCTAATCTCTCATACCTCATGAGTTCCATTCAAAAACTTGTTGCAGTCAGTCATGATTTAGACAAAAATGAAGGATCTTCGACGTCAAACATGTTGAAATGTACACAAATGTCAATGAGATTTGAGACCTACACAGAATGAACTGTTGGCAAATGACAGTAATCATTTTGGGTTAATGATGGAGATTTAAAGGGTGCAGAACGTAGAACATGGTGTACCACAGTTCCACCAATCCTGAGGAAATTGCTAAGCCTTCCATAGAGTTCTGTGGGCACAGAGTCTTTGTGAGGCTGGTCTCATAGTCTCCACTGTCATATGCAGCTCTATAACACAAGAATGATTCAAAATACTGCAGAAATCAGGGTGCACGAAAGAACAGTGGGTTCAATTTAAGACATGACTTTAATGTTTTCAAGACTTTCTTTTATTACCAAGTGAACATTCAGTTGTTGTTAAGATTAACTATGAGTTCCTGCTGTATTAGATGGGGGTGTCCAATCCTGATCCTGGAGGGCTGATGTCCATTAGAGTTTAGTTCCAGCCCACCCAACACATTTGCCTGGAGGTTTCTAGTAATCCTAAAACTTTGATGAATTGATTCAGGTGTGTTTAATTTGAATTGGAGGTAAACTCAGGACGGTGGCCCTCCAGGAGCAGGATTGGACACTCCTCTGTTTGGTAGTCACTTTTAAACTGATATAAATTGACACAACCAGTTTTCTCAGTTGATGTGATGAGTAATGTGATGTGTAATTCCCGTGCCAGGAGCATCGTCAAACACCCATAGAGTAATACAGGGATGCTGGAGTCTATCCCAGCAGTGATGGAAATGCCTAATTTTGAAAAAAACGTAATTCGTAAAAAAAAAGTTTTATGCTCACTTGAGGTGGTTTTTGCCGTGTGCGAAAAAGGGTTATTGCAAATAATGGGAGATGGAAATGCATTTTGTGAATACATTCCTCCAAGCGCATCAAAAAAGTCATGTGACTATGCGCTATGGGACGGCAAAACCTGACTAACCAGCAGACCGATCTCATTCCACAGCATCTGAAATGTTGTTATGGTCATTCGGAAATGCCCGAGCAAAATCTGTCATCAAAGTATTTCTGTATAATTGCCTCCCTGAATGTCTTACAGCATCCACCTCAGAAAGCAATGACCACATTCATTGTGTTTCGTCTGCTCGCTCTGAGGCACAAGTAATTTATTATAGATGAAAATGATTATATTCAGTAGCTTCTCCTACTTTTCTTAGTAATTTATAGTGCCGGTTTACCAGGAAGTGACGATTTTGTTCTCTTTGACTCGTTGAATGGAAACGGTGCTTGTTAGCAAATGTTTGATGCGATATTGCGCATAAGTTTAATTCACAACTTTGGATGGAAACCTGGCTACAGTCCTGCAGAGTTTCGCTCTAACCCAGACAAAAGTAGCTGTAGAAAGCTACATCCAGGTGAGTTTTTATCAAGGCTGGAGCAAAACTCTCCAGGACTGACATTGGCCACCCCATCATCAAACAGAATAGCAAAAATCGCTGTCTCCCAAACAAAAATGAAACATTCTCATTGTTAGTCCCTGTGTTTGGACAGACAGAAAACAACTGCCCTAACAAGACTCAAGGGTGGAATCCAATGCTCTCCATTGACTTTGTATTGCGGGAAGCTGCCTCCTTGTCATTTCTGACTTATAACAAAAAAAAACAAAACAGAACAATATCTAAAAGCTGCTGTGTGACAAGGTGTACAGCAAACAAGCTAAAACCCAGAACTATGTTTTTATAGGCTGTCGACTCCAAAAAACGAGCGTTGAAGGACACAAATATTTGTAGGTTTCAGGGTATTTCACGTTGGGCCGTTCAGTTGGATCATTTCTCAAACAAAAGGAAGGTAAGGAAGGGGTACTGACATAGACCAATAAAATTTTGTTTCTCAATATATCTCCTCTTCTTAGGTTCACACAGGATGGTAAAATAATCCTTTGACATGGTTAAAAATAATGAATGTTTCCCTCCAGTGGGCGTAGTTCTCAGAGTAAGACATGTTGCGCTCTACTTTTGTGTCCTTAAAGGGATAGTTCACCCCAAAATGAAAATTCTGTCATTACTCACCCTCATGTCGTTCCAAACCCGACAGCTTCGGGTCGACAGCTTATAAAAACGTAGTTCTGGGTATTTTAGCTTGTTTGCTGTACACCTTGTCACATAGCAGCTTTTAGACATTGTTCTGTTTTTTTTGTTATAAGTCAGAAATGACAAGGAGGCGGCTTTCCACAATACAAAGGTAATGGAGAGCATTGGACTGTTTCCCCCCGGTGGGCGTGGTTTTCAGATTATGACTTGTGTCGCTCTGTCTCTATTGGCTTCCAACTTTTGAATAACGGATTTAAAAAAACCAACTGTAAGGAAATCATTAAATTTAGTGTTTCTGGCAGCTTCAAAAAATAGCAATAAAGATAATATTTGGAAAAGGGTGCAAACAGCCTCTACATGTCTGGATGTCCCAGTAGGCATTACTAGTTCAATAATTAGAAAGAGTGAGTTACAACAAACTATGCAAACACGTTCTGCACTAACAAGACATAGACTTGCAAAGGTCCAAACATCCAACTGCACCAGTCAACCAAACTGAGAGCTATGAATGCCAATGTCGCTCAAAAACAACTGTA